TTGTTTACAGAAAGATTAGGTGATACAAATCAATTCTGAAATTCTTTTTTGCTACTTACTATGCATCTTCATTGTTGTATAGCTGAGCCTCTACTTCTTCATTTATTAAAAAATAAAGTAATAAAATCTACCTTATAGAATTGGTATAAGGGTTGAACAAATCAGTTTCTCCGAGGTTACAACAAGTCATACAGATTGAATTGTATCTATTGGGTTTAATTTTATATACAGCTGATACAATCCTTTTTTTTTTATAAGACCTATCATTTATTAAATATCAATCATGTGCTAGGTACTTCACTAGCTCTCATCCTTACAAATGTTCTGTAAGGCAGGTGTTAACCCCACTTGAAAGATTACAAAGTAAGGCTCAGAGAGGTTAACACTACTCACCAAATGTTAAATAGCTAATCAGATGTGTAGTCAGGATTAGAACCCAGATCTAGCTAGCTTTAACTCTGAGCTCTTTACATTATACTATCTCATTCTTTATAGTGTATCTTCATAATTTTATTTTCAGAGGGTAGCAACTGCAATTTGGGGAATACCTCACCAACAAAGTCACATACTAGAATTCTGTGGAAAATAAGAATGTATTTCAAAGGTCTGATAAACTAGTGAACTGGAAGGTCTACAACAGAATAATACTTTAAAGATAAGTGGGACAAGATAGACACAAAATAAGAGTAACTTTAATATCAGGGATAAATAGGGGGACAGTAAGAGACCACATGTTGAAACAGCTCATTACTGTAGACTGGTTATTTTCAAAGTTAAAACAAATGGCGGTGGGGGAACTTGAGAAAATACTCAAACCAGGGGTTCTCACTAACAGATCAGGAACTACTTGTGGTTCCTTGTCTTACCAGTAGGTCTCCAAGCTGGTTGGTCTTTCCTTGGGTTTCTCAGAATTTCCAGTAAAGAAAGAAAAGCAGGATAAGGAGAGCTTAGGCCTGATCAGCATAACTTTAACACTAACAGCAACACTACTCTATTTCTATCCCTCAAGTTAAGTTCCAAACTTTGAAAAAATAGGCTCTTTTTACAGCTCCCATACTTCCTGCCCCCAAAAGGTTGAGTGGCACTGTCTCCTCTCATGGGATACATTTGGAAGGGTTAGCCACCAGATGAGAGAATAGTACCCCACAGTACTTACTTCCTAAAACAGGAAAAATCATGTTCCTTGTCCAGAACTCCTCTATTAAGACTGCAGAGGATCCATGAAGGTAAAACATCATGAGCTAGAACAATGCCACAGAAAGTGTAACTAGCATTCCTGACTACAACAGCAAGGAGCGTCCTGGCTGCTCTGCATATTATAAATACATAGCTCATTCCTCATTAGTACAGTACCAAGAAAAAAGTATATATATATCTCCCCACTAAGAATATTTCATGTAATAGTATATGTACTGAATGATTTCAGTTTTTAAAAAACCCTGTAATTCCATTATCATAGGTAAGAAATATGGGATTAGACAGACTAGGTTTTTATTCTACAAGATTAGATCAGAGTAGAAATGAATAGCAGAATCTATTAATGCATTCATCAAATTTATTGAACTATAAATATCATAATTAAATTTTCAGCGCTTCAAAACAGTCCTGTGACTTTTCCAATAACTAGAAAAAAAATTACATCTATTTTCAAAAACTCCCATGTCAAGATTATTTCCAGAACCCAAATTCACCTTTCATTAAAAGGTAATAAATGAGAAACTAGTAACAGTTATTAGATTCCAGGTAGGAGAATTTAGTAGCTGGAGACAGGTGTACAAAAGGGCCTTTTGAATTTTAAACTATGTGGAAATATTACCTATTCAAAGTAATCAATTGTATTTTATTTACTATTTATTTTTTCAGATGGAGTCTCATTCTGTCACCCAGGTTGGAGTGCAGTGGTACAATCTCAGTTCGAAGTAATTATTTTTTTTTAATTTTATTTTTTCTGAGATGGAGTCTGGCTCAGTCGCCCAGCTCTGTCACCCAGGCTGGAGTGCAGTGGCACGATCTCGGCTGTCTGCAAGCTCCGCCTCCTGGGTTCATGCCATTCTCCTGCCTCAGACTCCTGAGTAGCTGGGACTACAGGCGGCCGCCACCACACCTGGCCAATTTTTTTATTTTTAATAGAGATGGGGTTTCACCGTGTTAGCCAGGATGGTCTCAATCTCCTGACCTTGTGATCCGCCTGCCTCAGCCTCCCAAAGTGCTGGGATTACAGGCGTGAGCCACCGCGCCTGGCCCAAAGTAATTAATTTTAACAACTAAAAATTACTGATGAGAACACACAGCACTTCTGTAGACTTGCAAGCTTTCCCCATACGTCTAAAAATATTACAAAATATTTTTACAAAATTCCTACAATAAAGACAATAAATTAATCCGAACAGGTTGCAAAAGCCAACTCCTTTTAGAAATTTAAAACAAAACAAATATCAAAAATCCAATCCCAAACTACTGTTTCATTTAATCATGGACCACATTACCAAAATGTCACTGGGTGAAATACAATAATTCTTCTTTTTTTTTTTTTTTATTTTTTTTTTTGTGAGAGAGAGAGTCTCGCACTGTCACCTGGGCTGGAGTGCAATGGTGTGATCTCAGCTCACTGCAACCTCAGCCTCCCAGGTTCAAGCGATTCTCCTGCCTCAGCCTCCTGAGTAGCTGGGATTACAGGCGTGTGCCACCATGCCCGGCTCATTTTTGTATTTTTAGTAAAGACGAGGTTTCACTATGTTGGCCAGGCTGGTCTTAAATTCCTAACCTCGTGATTCGCCTGCCTCAACCTCCCAAAGTGCTGGGATTACAGGCGTGAGCCACTGCTCCGGGCCTGTAAAACACAATTCTACTAGCTTAATGTGGTACATGAAATCCCAATCTCAGGAATTTAAGAAATTAAAAAAGCTAATGATGAGGCTAGTATTTAGTCTTAGGATAGCTGATCATTTCAGATAATGAGTGAAAACAACATTCCATGAAATATCCAGGCCAATATTTCCTTACATGGGGTGTAAGAAATGCTCCCCCATGGAAAGCTTTGAAAAATCCTCATAAGATTTTAATCTATAGGGTCTAGTTTTTTTCTTCTTCAGACACTGGCCATTATAGATAAGACAAAGTGTATAGACACACACATACATAATGTATGCACAAACATATATATACACAAATATACACACACACACACACATATACACACGTGTGTTATGTAAATATATTTAAAAGCAGTGTCAAGGAAGTTTTTATACCAATTAACCTGTGGGCAAAGAAGCAGCTAAAGACCACTCTGACAGACTTTTTGCCTGAAAACATATTATACTGTAACTATTTTATTACCACTAAAGAACCTAAGATGCATCTTTATATAAAACAAATGATTTTATATACAGTCTGAACTAGTTTGTCTTAAAACAGTGAGTCTCACTTTGATTCCCTATCTGGAAAGTTGTCTGATCCACTATTAAGTAACTCTATCCAAGATCCTAAAGCAAACGTTACATATCCATTAAGAGTTAGTAAAAGGTAAAAAAACAAATAATAACAAAAACACCACACATACACTCTTAGCTTTAGTTCTTTAATTATCTTGTAATAATTAAACCCGCATATTCTTAAACTAGCAACAACAAAATCCCTCCTTTCTTTCCAAACTACAAAGTGACACTTTGCCTACTCCATAAAACTTTCGAAATAGAGTATTCTTAGCTAACTTCTCTTCATTATATGAATCGGACATTTAAAAAAATGTAATTAAAATGTCAGTTTTTCAAATAATATATTTTTACATATGGCTGGCAACATCTTTATTATTTTAGTTTACGAATGCAACTTAATGTATTCATTTTAAGGCTATTTATGTGCCCTCTTTAAGACTCATACTATTTTCCCTAAAGTTCTTTTCCCCTCTGTGCCAACACAGAATCTCCAGAACGGTTTCTACTAGCTGCAGAGAAGCAACAATTCTACAGTGAATTTCATTTACCATTTGGTTGGGTACATACTGAAATTTGGATTCATGAATATTTTTGACAGTTTATGGACATCAGTGAGAAGAAAACTGACACTCTGGCATGTGACTGCCGACAACCAAGTCACTTTACTTCAAATAGAAATGGAAATAGACCTCAGTAGCTAATAATTTTGAACATATGAATAAAAGTGTTCAAAAGAAAATTACATCAACTAAGTTCGAAATTACACACAAATCTTGAAATGAAAATTCACAGTAAACATTTTAAAATACACAATGGGACTAAAATAAGTTTGCCTGACACGTTTTGATTCAATGCTAATATTATTAACCGCATCTTGAAAAAGCTTACTGTAGCAATAGAATCCTTAATATTAAATGCTAGAATTTCAAACGAGTGTCACTATTTTCTCAAAAATATTTGTCAACTGTACTACATATAGCGCCAATTCTGGAAGAAGAAGAACATTATTTGAATGGAACATCAGAAAAACACTGATATACATACGTGAAAGGAAATAACGAGACTACAGATTTTTTAAATTTACCCCCAAAATGGTAAATGTATCAAAGAAACAAAGCACATTTGCCAATTGTGTTGCACAAGATCTCTATCTTGAAACATCACATTCTTTCAAGCAACATATAGCAAACTGCTTTCTCTAAGACTATCTTTAACACTGACTGGTGAGAAAGCCTTTTAAACTATTTTCCGATTAACACCTCCCTCCTCAATTTGTTAAATATTTTGATCAAGTACAACAATGAAACCGTTTTTAAGGAAATAATGTCTAACTTTAAAAAACATTTAATCTCAATCTCTTTAATCAATGGAGGTGTGACAACCAACGCATGTAAAATTAACCTTAATCCACCAACTAAAACACGCAAAATGTCTCCTAACAATTCTCCTCCTCCTTAAAACAACAACCGTACACATAAATACGGTTCTGACCTCCACCACTACTGCGAACAGCTAATTAATAAAGAGAATGGTTATGTTTGGAGACCAAGGTGCAACACCCCACCTCATAAACCTCCCAAAATAACCATATCATCCAAGTAAAACTGAACATTATTTTTGCTAAAGCAGGATTTCAGTCCCGGGGAGCCTCAGCCCTTAGACAATGGTGGTTACCAGACAGTGCTGCACAGTTGGGTCCAAATGACACATTTCACTAGGCCTTGGACACAACACACACACATGCGCGCGCGCGCACACACACACACACACACACACACACAATATCCCAAGGGGCCAGTTCTAAGGAAGGGGCGTTCAAACCCCACTAGGAGACGGAGAGCAGCACCGCGGCATGGGGGGTCGCTAGGGGAGGACAGGCAAGGGGGTGTCGATAGAGCGGAAGGGTAACTGCACTGCACACGAGGGAGGGGGCTGGAAATGGCCGATGGATTCTATATTTATTTATTTAAAGGTCTTGATTTAACGGGTCCTTCCCAGGGGTTCTGTAACTAAAGGCAAACTGCGCAGCAAACACTGTGGGCTTGGGAGAGGAGTCGCTGCTCCCCCTACCCCGTGACCAGGGACGGGGGGGCGGGGGAAACAAGTTCCCCGGCCAACACCACAGACCACCCCGATTCCCCTCTCCCGCTCCTCCCCAGGAAGGGGTAGGCTAACACAGAAAAATGGGGGAAAACAAGTTCCCCAGCCAACCCCACCGCCCGATTGCTGCCAGTTGCTCCCCCCAACCTACCATTAGAAAGAGACAGACTAAACCATGGAAGGCAGCAGAAAAGGGAGAAATCACGCCGCTCGCCTTCCCCCCGCCCGGCCAACAGACTTCCGCGGGGTCCGTGAGCGAGCCGAGAAGCCAAAGGGATGGGTGGGGGTGGAGGGTGCCGAGCCCCCGAAACCAAACAAAGCGCGGCCTGAGCGAGAGCCCGAGCGAGTAGGGAAGCCGCGGCTTTTCTTGCCGGCCCGGCCCCGGCTGACACTGCGGCATCGGGGGACCCGCCTCCGCTAAGCTTGGGTCTCCCACCCCTAGGGCGCGCAGGCCGCCCCCGCCCGCCCCTGCCTCCCTTCCCGCGGTGCCCCGGCCGGCTGGCGGCTGGGAGGGAGCTCGGCCTTACCCCGCTCGCCGACGTTGTTCCGCTCCTGAGGCAGCGGCGGAGGCGGCGGTGGCGGCGGCGGAGGCTGCTGCTGCTGCTGTGGCGGCGGCGGGGGCTGCTGCTGGGGCGGCTGCTGCTGGGGTGGCTGCGGCGGCGGCTGCTGCGGGGGCTGCTGCTGCTGTTGCTGCACCGGGCGCGGCCGCGACACTCGCCTGGGTCTCCGGTTGGCGGCTCGGACGGAGTTCATTTGCCGGGCTGAGGTGGCGGCGTTGGCGGAGGGACACACACACGCACACGTACAGCGAGCTTCGGGGCAGGAGAGGGGGGTGGGGAGAGTGGGAGAGGGGGGAGGAAGGAGAAGGGGCGAGGGGAAGGGGAGACGCTGAGGGCGGAGGGGGCGAGCGGGACCCCGAGTCCGGAGAAAAGCCCGGGTACACAGACGGAGACCGAGGGAGGCCGGCCGGGCGGGCCTGACGCACGGGGAAGGCCGAGGCCGCCGGGCGGGGCGGCCGCGAGGGACGAAGGCAGAAAGACGGGCAGAGCGAGAGAAAGAAAGAAAGGGCGTCCGCCGCTTGGGGATCCCGAGGCGAAGCGCGGCGGCGGCGGCGGCGGCTGAGGAGACAGATCCCGGTCCCGCCGACTCGCGAGCGGCGTCTCCGGCAGCGGGGGGAGTGGGCGGGCGGGTGAGGAAGGGAAAAGAGAGGGAGAGAAGGGAGGGAGGGAGCAGGGGGCGCCCGGCTCTTTTTTTTTTCCTCTTCCTCCCCCCCACACCCCCTGAAAGAGATTTCTGTGAGGAATTTTTCTCTTTCTTCGGCCTCTTCTCTCTCCTCCCCCCCTTCTCTCCTCGGCGAAGGGGAAATGAGTGTGAAGGGAGGAGATAGGAGGAAAAAGAGGCGTCGTCGTTCCTCCTCCTTAAAGGAACCTTTTCTCCTCCTCCTCCTCAGCCCTGTCGCCGCTGCTTCTGCTGCTGCTCCGTGGCAGGAGGAGCCATTGACACCGCCGGAGCCTCCACTCGCCCAGTGGGTCCCTCCCCGCCGCGGGGCTGGCCGGGGGCGCGGGGGAGGGCCGCGAGGCGGCGGGGGGAGGGGTGAATGGGCGGGGAGAAGGGGGGCGGGGAATCCGTCCAGGCGGCCAATCTAAGGCTCCCGTACAACCTTCCGGCCAATGGGGCCTCCGCTCTTATCGCGAAGTTCCTTCAACGCCCTGTTTCCTCTCTCGGGTTTCCTCCCTCCCCCGCCTAGGAGGGGGAAAGAGGAAAGGGGGAGTGTGGCGGGGCGGGTGATAATGGGAGGTATCAGGGCAAATAATAGAGCAGGGGGTGGGCGAAGAGAGCGCCAGTGCGTAGCGACGATTCTGGGAGAGGAGGTGCTCGGAGGAAAGGGCGGGGGTTGCTGATGTAATGGGGAGAAGTGATTAATCCTTCGGTTCGCTGTTTCAGCTTCCCCCTCTACCCCAGCCTTCACCCGATTTTGTTGAGCTGAAAAAAAAGTGGAACGAGGGAGCCAATCTTTGGTAACTCGGGTTTTCTGTGGTAGGTGGGTTCAAAATCTGAGCTGTAGGGAGCGCTAGAGATTTCGTGCCCTTTAGCGAAGCTGAGGGTATTTGCAAACCCTGGAGATTTCCTTCTCCGAGCTTTGGGCTTGGTAACCGAAGTTAGGAGTCGGTGCCTAATCGTAGATCATCTAAACCTTGAAAAAGCTTTGACTTTTGGCCAGTTTGATTTGTTCTTTGAAGAAGTGTATACAAGGTGTGGGAAACTAATATGTGAGAGGAGAGAAGTAAATGAGTTGATGTTGTGATTGTTTATGTGATTTACTTTTTAAATTTTTTTTAGGTCCCACAAACTACAAGGAAAAGAAAACCCTCAAGAGGAATTACCTTTATACCTGATGCCCCCAACATAATCTCTCTCCAAGGGAAACTTGTTTTTATTCCCTCGCTTCTGTTACGATGACTGAAAATGTACTCTTTCTCGATTCTCCCCCTTCTCTCTTTTGTTTTGCATTTTTTTGGATGTGGTAAAACTGTCAGTTTATCTGATTCTCTGGTTTTCAGAACTTTGGGCAATGTCTCTGGTTTGAGTGTCATCAGTTGCTGTCTAGGTTTGACATCGATAATTAAGCAACTACAAAGCGTGATAAAGCTTTTGAGAGGGAGGAAAGTGTATTTTGGAAGGAGGAAGAGACGCAAAGAGGCGAGCCTGTATCTTGTAGTGTGTTGAGTCCCAGACTTGGTGTGTGACTACAGGCAAAATACTTCACCTTTCTAGATGTCACCCCCCCCCCCCACTTCCCGAGTTTAAATAAGAACTTATTTTAGACGGCATGATCCCGTTTTCAGTTTTTAAGAATTCTGTGATTTTGAGATGATCTCTCCATAGTCCAGAAAAAATAGAGAAACGTAGATCTATGTTTCTCAAAAAAATATTTTGAGGATGACAGCTGTTATAAAACAGCTGGAGAACTCCAAATTTTTATGGTTGTTAGCTAGGTGCAAATGGGTACAATTTTAGGTTTGTTCAAATAAACATAGGGGAAAAGTAAAAGTACAGGAAAATTACATTATACTATAAGTGTGTCCATCATTTCTGATTTTTCTAAAAATTTCCTTTTTTATTTAACAAGTACTTATTGGCTTCTTCTGTGTGTGCATTAATATGTATGTAAGGTGTTATGGGAAATACTAATAAAAGGAAAATATTGGGCATAAAGAGTTTGTATTTTGGTGTGGCAGAGTTGAAAGTTTACTTACAATAATTCAGATGTAAAGAAAATGTAGCTTATTTTCTGTAGTTTTAACTTCAAGTGCCCACATCACCTCAATTTTTAAAAAAACATAACTGCTTTCACCTTTTATTTCGCCAACTCTCCTTTCAATATATTAATGGCGGGGGGCAGGGTTTAGGGTTGTTGTATGTGGTATAAGGGGTATCTTTTACATACCCTAGATTTCTTTTTTTTTTTTTTTTTTGAGACGGAGTCTGGCTCTGTCGCCCAGGCTGGAGTGCAGTGGCCGGATCTCGGCTCACTGCAAGCTCCGCCTCCCGGGTTTACGCCATTCTCATGCCTCAGCCTCCCGAGTAGCTGGGACTACAGGCGCCCGCCACCTCGCCCGGCTAGTTTCTTTGTATTTTTTTAGTAGAGACGGGGTTTCACCGTATTAGCCAGGATGGTCTCGATCTCCTGACCTCGTGAACCGCCCGTCTCGGCCTCCCAAAGTGCTGGGATTACAGGCTTGAGCCACCGCGCCTGGCCTACCCTAGATTTCTAAGTTAATTGCAACAGTTCTCTGACATACGGCAGTAAAATGCCTTGTTTTAGCAAAATTGGTATATTATGACAATTTCCTGATAGATGATAGTAAAGTGTCTTGAGAAAGGGAGCACCTTTTTCAAATTCACACAGTAACTGGTAGGGTGGTAGCATCCCTGAGGGATAGGGAGGTTTACAAGGGCATCTAAGCCACTAATGCCAGTCCTTATGTTGTCTTCTGGCATGGAGTGGCTGGTATTGTCTGATGGCAGCCACTGTCATTTATCATTTATTACTGATAAAACTGGTCATTTCTGTATTTTGAGGCTGATTTCTTTTGCTGAAATCCATACATGAGCCATGTGCCCTATACACTATAACCTCTTTGTACTGACCCCAAGTCTCCACAGGTCCCTTGATCCTTGTGGTTCTCACTGAGACACATGGGTACTTCTGGATTCCCCGAATACCACATGTAGGCCTTGATGAGCCAGGAGCCTGGCTTTGGGCTTATTAGTTGTTGAGCCACTGTCCAACAATGTTGCATTTTTCTGCCTGTGTTATATTGAACATACTGGCAGGCTGAAAGTAGAACTCCTAGAGGTCTTGGTGTTTCACAGACATGTCCAGGGAAGCAATCCACTATCTCCAACTTTCTTGGATTTCCCTATGTCTCTGCGCATATGTGAACTACATACCTTCAATTCTAGTTTCCACCCTGAGAGGGGATGGAAAGTAAGCACACTGGGTCTGATTACCTCTTCCTTGTACCCTTTTCTTCTTTCCATCATCCCTCAGGGTTTTAAGGAATGGATTTTTCTCCTTCCTGTATGTCAGGAACTTTCCTTATGTAGTGTATCTTCTTCATTTTTGAGATTTGGCATTTCTTCTCCCTTTCTTGGAGCTGTGATGGCTGATGAAGTGCTCAAGAGAGAACCCAGTTTAACAATAATGGAACATCTATTGGGAGATATTAAAAAATCTTATCCTATCCCCACATCACTGGTTTCTACATATGTTTAGTTTATTTCTTGGGATTAAATGTTAAAGTCATCTTTATGCAAAAGTGTTCAAACTCAACTCAGTTGTGGAACTTGAGAGTTGTTAGGACCGACCTTGGAGATCATTAAATCTCATTTCTGTATTCAACAGACTAGGAAACTAAACTCCAAAGAAGGGAGGTGACAAAACCTTAACTATTTGGTAGCAAAGCCACTGTCTGCCAATGCAGGGCCCTTTCCATTCAGAAGCATTGTAGACAATATTTTGAGTTCTGGTGAGAACCCAAAATATCCTGGAAGGTTTTATCCATAGGCAGATCCACCTATATTAGTAAATAATTCTGTCAATTAGCTGGCATAAAAGGTATATATGTTAGAAAACAAGAGAAAAATTTAAAGGGATTTCTTTTGGGGGTGGGAGCCACCTAGAATTATTTCAGTAATACTTAGCATAATTTCAGAGGACTGAATTCCCTCAGGGTTTGCTCTCTCTTCAAGAACATTTGTGTTTGTTTTTCTCAGCTAATTACTGGTGCTTAAAAGGTTAGTGTACTTAAAATTATTTGTTTATAAAACCTATCACAATAGCAGTGTGGAAAAAATAAGCTCTTTAATCATTTCAATACCTGGCAGGTGATATTTACTGTGATTCTTAAATTATAATTTTACCATTTCAAAGATTCAGCTTTCCTTTCCTCTGTCATTCTATCATCTAGTCCCAAGCCATCAGCACTTAGTCAGTTACATAAGACACCTCAAAGCTGCTCACTCCTTTTATGTCATTTAATAAATTAGTTTGATCTGAATATGGTTTTCCTGCAGGAATAACTAGCTCTGTTTAAAATATTCTTGTTAGAGTATGAATGACTTATCTCACTAAGCTGCAAAAATTTATTCTTCAGTACATGCCCAGATAATTTTTTATCAGTTAGGTAGTGAAAATTAACTCGGAACTAAGGATTTAAATTTAATGTATATGTGGGAAAACCTGGTAAGCACACAATCCAATGAACCCAGAAGTTATCTTTAAAGAATTATAGAATCTAACTTTAATACCTTTCCCTGTGAAATAACACAGACAGAGCACTATTAAAAGAAATTAATTACGTTCAAGTTTTAGGATGGACTGTGATAGACAGTGATAAATCTTTATTTTTGGTTTTTAAGAGCAGAACCAATTTCTAAGTGTTGAGAGAAGAGTAGGCCAAAACAATAAAAGCATGTTATATTAGGGAAGGACTGGTAGGTGATAGAAGTTTGGGCAGATGTGAAAGTGGAAAACCAACAGGGAGCTTTGCTACTTACCTTGGGCAAATTCCTTAACCTATCTGTGCTTATTTCTGCATCTGTAAAACAGAGGTGATAATAGTCCTCATTTTGTGGGATTGCTGTGAGGATCAAGCAAATTAATACCTATAAAGTGCTTAGAACAGTGTTTGGTGCATAGCCAGGACTCAGTAAACTGCTGGCCATTATTGTTACTGTTGGTGGTGGTGGTGTTATTTCAGGCTTTGATTATTTTATTTATTTATTTTTAAACAAAGTCTCACTGTATTACCCAGGCCGGAGTGCAGTGGCACGATCTTGGCTCACTGCAATCTCCCAAGTCTTAATGAATTTTTAGATTACATGGACATTGTATGTGGGGAAGCAGATATGCCTTTTTTGTTTTTTGAAAGGGAGTCTTGCTGTGTCACCCAGGCTGGAGTGCAGTGGTGCGATGTCAGCGCACTGCAGCCTCTACCTCCTGGGTTCAAGTGATACTCCTGCCTCAGCCTCCTGAGTAGTCAGGAATACAGGCGCATGCCACCATACCCGGCTAATTTTTAAATTAAATTAAATTTTTTTTTTGAGACCGAGTCTCACTCTGTCACCCAGGCTGCAGTGCAGTGACACGATCTTGGCTCACTGCAACCTCTGCCTCCTCAGTAGCTGGGATTACAGGTGTATGCCACCACATCCAGTTAATTTTTGTATTTTTATTAGTGACAGGATTTCCCCATGTTGGCCAGGCTGGTCTCGAACTCCTGGTCTCAAGTGATCCACCCACATCAGCCTCCCAAAGTGCTGGGGTTACAGGAGTGAGTCACCATGCCTGGTCAGGTATGCTTTTGTTATAAGAAAAAATGACTAGAAAATGAACAGCATTAGAAAAACTTAAAAAAACAGAAGAAAGACACCACCAAAGGAAAGAGGCAGAACAACAATAGGTAGTGATTAGACATGGGTTGAAACCGATGGGAGGAGACCTCTTGTGCAAGATTTCTCCACTCAATATTTCAGCTGAGGATCTTGTGGTAGATGCAGATTTTTTTTTGTTTGTTTTAATGGGAGATTCTCAAGAATCTATGGAGTAGGTAAGAAAACAAATGCATAGGCCTGGGGGAAAAAAGACAAAAAGGCAACAGTTGAAAGTTACCTGTGCTAGATGAATAATTAGATTCACTTAAGTAGCAGGTTAAAATTTAAAAACTCATCTGGGCCTCCTTGAAAGGAGTAGTGAATGATAGAGAGAAATGGAACAGGAGTCAGCAGTAGAGAAAGAAATGGCAGAAAGTAATGCACGAGGCAGCACAAGTAACTCAAGGGCTAGAGAATCTGAAAGCTAAAGGAAGTGGGACTTTACGGGGACAGCACATGTCAGAGGAAACATTAGACCCCACTATGATCCTGACTCAAAAGGGAAATGGAAATAGAAATATTCAAAACATGGAAAGGATACTGAGAAAAAGAGGAAGACTTGGATAAGTTATAGACATTGGAGATGCTACCACTGAAAACCTCCTCAAATCTCTTTGTAACTAACTAGGCCCTATTCCCATCCTTGAATTAACCTCTGGCAAGGGTAAGGGGGATCATTCTTAGACCAATCTGACTTGCTCTTGTAGCTTCAGATGGGGTGAACTTGATGGAGGGGATATAGGTCCCTAGAAAAAAATGGGGCTTTTGGGGAAAGGATGAACATGTTTTTTAGGAAGTCAGCTATGTCCTTATTGAAAACATAATGTCACAATTAACCTCTTGATGAGAAATTTATCCCAACTAAATTTAAATTCACATGTAGCAGTTAGAAAATGGACATGTTCTAAAAGGCATCCTGGCAATAAGGAAACCGAGAAGATGTTCTCTCTTCATTTTTGCTTCCTCTACATTATTCTTCTTACCCAAGAGAACACTAAGCCTACTGAAGTCTTTGATAGGCCACAGCAACAAGGGTTTAAACACTGGGTTCTAGGAACATCATTTTGTTTGTACAATGCTGTTACTACAGGAGTCACATCTGCTTCTACATTTTTGAGACATGAGAGATTTAGGTGGATTACTTCAATTTTGAAGGTACTAAAGGTGCTACACCCATTGTAATGGAAGAAGATGCAGTGGCTGCTAAAGGACTCTGAACCCCAAGGCCTTTGAGGGAGAGCCCTCTGACAGGTACTGAAAAGATCAGAAAAATAGAGAGAAGAGTA